CCACATCAGCGACAGAATCAGCAACAACGTTGGGATCGTCCGGCGAGAAGCAAACCCGCCCCCAAGGGTAGGATGCAAAAAAGGACCGCATGCTATCCCAATCGGCTGACCTATAGTGCCAAACAAGGCGGCAGTCTGCAGAATGCAACCGCGATTTCAGCGGGAGTGGCACCACATTCCGAACAAGACAATGGTGCGAAGAGCCTAAAGGGGCATCGACGGATATCTGATATCCGTCCGGATGAGAGGTCAGCAGAAGGTCCAACAGGGAAGGTGCATGATCCTCCACATCTGGAATCCGCGTAGGCGAAGTAACCAGTTGTGTCAGATCATATGCCAAGGCAAAATCATGAACAGATCTCCCCGCATGATTGATTAAACGTGAACAACGCCATTTGGCGTGATGGGATTTAAAATCGCCGAGGATCACGATCTCTGCGGAGGGATCTGCTGTAGCAACGAATCTGTAGCCATTTGGACGTGGTCGAAGAGTCGGTCTGTTTCGGTATTACCGCTATGGGACCTATAGAGGCACCCGTAGATGCGCGGATGGTCGTCGCAGTCTACGCGTAGCCAAATGATGGACAGGTCCGAACCTTCAAGACTGCCAAGGCGTTGAGAACAGATGTCCTCTCTGACGTAAACGCAAACTCCAGCCCGAGGCACAAAGGAGTGTTCCAGTTTGTACCTCTAGCAAGAGAGATACGAGACGTCAGCCGGAGAGGACACCTGCATCTCGGTCATGGCCCGGCTCGCCGTCTCGAGATGGTAGTGGACGGTGTTTAGGTTAGAGTAAAGTCCCTTGATATTGCAAAAATTCACGGATAGCGTGGCAGGGGTCGCCTTGGTCTTGTTGCTCCGTTTGCCCAGAGAATTTGTAGTCTTGAGCTGAATTTTGCCCCCCCCCCCAGAATACGTGGGGCAGCCTGAGCACCTACGCTCATGAGTGGAGAAACATGGACGTGGATGCTCAGCGAAGGATTCTCCAGGGGTGCTGGTACCCTACTGCGGTGGGGGGAAATGGGGCTTGTAGTACGGAGTCGAACGTCTAAGGTCACGCACATATCTTTGCCCCTAACCTAGCGAGGTGGCTTACAATAGTAATCCACTGTAAAATAATCTCAAATTTAGTTATTTCTGAAACCAAATGATTAGAAATAAATATTTAAACTCATTTGTGATCTAAGTTTTAAATTAATGTGATATTGTCATATATTGTTGCGCGCCATAATTAATGTCACTAGCGCCATCTAGTATCGAGTAGCAGAACTAGGAGAGATTTCTAGAATTTTCCCACTAGTGCCTTCTAGTATCGAGTGGCAGATCTAAGTGAGAACTTTCTACACCTAGTCCGGGATCGGTATGTACTCGACCATTCTATATGTTTCAGTAGAAAAGGCGCTATATAAGGCTATATAAGTAATTGGTGTTCGGTCATTAAAGTGTCAATTTTGGTAATTCAATTGGCAGTTTTTATTGTCACGAACCCTAAGCTCGTAACAATAGGTTCGATTTTACCTAAGGACAAAACGGAGGGTGTCGCCAGCAGGAGACGGACCAGAGACAATTTAGTGGTGCAACGGCACAGACGCCGGAGGGTCAGCCGCTGGCAACGGAGGTGGGCACGTCGGCAGCTCCGAGATCACCTAACTTAGTTGCTCTGATGATGATGCTGTAGAAACAGGCCCGCCAACAGGAGGAGCAGGCACGTTAGTTGGAAGAGCAGCTGCAGCGTGGACAGGAGTAACAGGCCCGTCGGTTGAAAGAGCACCAGGAGTAACCTGTCTCCCCGAATATTTTCCCTTTTATGGCACAGAACTTCATCTTGAATCAGCAAATTATCCAATGTGTCAAATCCTTACATAAAACTTTTCCAGTTTACATAAAAACATTTATAATTACTTACAGTAATTTTTCATCGTCACCAATATACAATACGCTGCTTTGTTTTGCACAATGTACACGGTATCACTTATTACACAATGTCACTAACTTTACATGGTACACATCTAATATATTAACAGAGATGTTGTCTACTCGCCAGTTACAATTCAACTGCCCGATGTTCCCAAAGCGGGGGGTATTTATACACTAGTAGCGATGACTCATTTTGTCTATACACACTCTTGTGTGTGTGTTAGTGACATTGTGTAATAAGTGATACCGTGTACATTGTGCAAAACAAAGCAGCGTATTGTATATTGGCGACGATGAAAAATTACTGTAAGTAATTATAAATGTTTTTATGTAAACTGGAAAAGTTTTATGTAAGGATTTGATGCATTCTCTTTTAAAAGATAGGTTAGAATGCGGAGCCTAAAGTTAGGGACAACTAGCAATACCAGTTTGATTGTTCATGCCGTGATTTATCTTTGTTAAAATCAAATGGACACCCCAATGAGATGGTCCAAGAGCATGGACACTTATTGGTGATCGTCCAAGATTTACTAAAGCAAAGGTCCAGTCATGGACATGCTTTATGTTCCAGAAAAGGGTTTAAATTATTAAAGGCTGAGTTGTCCTGATTTATCTTTGTTAAAATCAAATAGACATCCCAATGAGATAGTCCAGGAGCATGGACACTTATTGGTGACGGACCAAGTTTTACTAAAGCGAAGGTCCAGTCATGGACATGTATAAAATGACATTAATAAAAAAAATTCAAGAATTATTGGAGCTCGATATTATCGAAGAAGTATCTAAGCCGTCAAAATGGGTTTCACCTATTGTGCCTGTTTTAAAAGACAATGGGGATATTAGGATCTGTATCAATATGTGAAGAGCTAACGCAGTAATAATTCGCGAAAATTATCCACTACCAACAATGGACCAGCTGCTACCTCAGCGTTATTTCTCGCCTCAACATTACAAACGCTTTCCACCAAATCGAAATCCATCCGGATACCCGATAATCACTACATTTATAACTAGCAAAGGGTTATTTAGATACAAGAGACTTATGTTTGGTATTTCCTTTGCCCCAGAAATGTTTCAAAAAATCATGGAACGTACTCCTATACAGTGTAAGGTACAGTAAATTTTATTGACGATATTGAGGATCAAATGAGGCAGAGCATGATCAACGATTACAACGAACACTAAATATTTTGATAGAGAACAATGTTCTGTTAAACAACGATAAGTGTATTTACAAAGTAAACAAAATAGTGTACCGACCAGGTAAATCGAATATAGCTAACCCCTTTTCAAGACTTTGTACTTCTAAACGATATTGAACAATTCTCAACGATATTGAACAATTTTCCTAGCAGGATTCCAAAATCGCTAAAGTAAGGCAAGACTTATACTCGTATACCTGGGATCCTACTATCGCAAATTATAAAGTATTTGAATCGGAGCTTTGTTTCCAAAATAATATTTTACTTCGAGGTACAAAAATTGTTATTCCAGAAAATTAAGACGGCAAGTATTGCATGACGGCAAGTATTGTATATTTTGCATGCTACTGGTAAAATATGGCTGACTTCTACTTCATTTGTACCCATATTTGCAAAATAAAATATCTTTATCTTTATTTTGCAAGCTGCTCACGTGGGTCACCCCGCTTTGGGAACATCGGGCAGTTGAATTGTAACTGGCGAGTAGACAACATCTCTGTTAATACCGGGGGGGGGGGGGTACACTTCCATACTTTAGGTTGGGGTTCAATAATTTGCAAAGACACTAGTGCCATCTTGTACTATATCCCCATAAACTTTCGAACATTAAATTCTAAAAGGTGCGCTAGATGGCGACTACACCAATTCTGGTTATTCTGGAAATGGCAAGTAGCAACTTTATATGACATAATGGCTACCGGCGCTGAGCAAGTTGTTGTTTTATTATAGTTTGTAGTGATTTTCGGTTGTTGCTACAATAAGTTTGGTTGAGTTGGGATTAGACCTCTGTTTCTTTGTTGTCTGTTTAGATTTTCATGCTGGAATTACATTGTATGTTTGTGTAGTGTTGTGCGAAATAGACGATTTCATTTATCATTCCGGTAACCCGGTGGACATATTTAATTTGGTTTGGTGTTGTATTTTGCGAAATAGACGCTTTTACATCGTGTATGTTAAATATATATAACAAAAATAAATATTAAAAATTTATATTACTGAAATCTATAATACGTCTTTAATTGAACCCTAATCCCTTAAAATATAAATTCAGTTTATACAAAGGTACTCTGTGATATAAAAATAACCCTCTATAGTATAGATAGCTGTATATACATAACTACATACAGCTATCTATAGTCAATATGATATTGAAATTAGTTCAAGGGATATGATACTAGGCGGCGACACTATTCATATTGGGTGAAAAAAAATCCTAGGAGGTGGCTCTCTGTTTCTGTATATATTACTCTACTCTATGGTTAATACGTTACATGTGTACCATGTAAAGTGAAGTGTGTTAGTGACATTGTGTAATAAGTGATACCGTGTACATTGTGCAAAACAAAGCAGCGTATTGTATACCGAATAAAATGTAAATATTAAAAGAAAAGTATCCAAGCCATCATCATCATCATCATCATTACAGCCCTTCACAAGTCCACTGCTGAATAGGCTCCCCAGTAACACAAAGCACGGTCCCGAGCCACCTGCATCCATCGACTTCCTGCATGTCCAAGCCATAAATCTTAATAAACAAAAAGTAATTTTTAGTAAGCCGTCAATGTCATTGTAATTGAAGGCTGTATGGCTCGGTTCCTTTGCCTGCTCTCTCGAGCGAATAATAAAAACAAACAAATATTGTCATTGAAATTGTTAATTTGACAATTTCAAATTGTCAATTTGTTATTTGTTGTGAATAAAAATTAAATGAATGCGTTAATGTGCATAGATTACTGTGGTTAATGTGTCTGTAGGTGTGTATTTATCACTATTTACTTTACGTGATTATCCTTAATTAATTCCAAAGTGATAAAAATTTGCTTTTTAATAATTCTAGATTGTATATTGATATTGTAGTAGCTGATATAATTTGAGTCTAAAATGCCTGCTGTAACTTCAACTACTGTCGAAGAACAGAATGATGCAGACCAGAAAATGTGGAATGCTCTTAAACGCTACATTATACGCGAAAGACAGAGAAAAAAAGAAGGTACTATATATAAGGGCCCACAAATTATGTCTGTCATGTGTGTATTTTTAATCGAATTATGTGATGTATCTTATTTTGACTATTTTCAGAATACGAGGCTGAGGTTGAAGAAGAAAGATTGAGAAAAGAACGTGAGGCAAGGGAAAGGCAGGATGTAATGACCTTGGGTATGTTGTAGTTAGTTTGTGAAGTGAATGTACTAAACATATTATCGATTATAACCTGTAAGGTCTGACAGCTCGCGACATGTTGGGTATGTTCCGAAATACAACGCAGTGTACTGTCCAATGCAAATGACGTATCATTTGACACTTTATTGTACTAGCGTGCCGTCGCCATATTGTGTCGGATATCCGGCCATAATAAAACAATTTTTAATTGTGTGTTTGCCGAATGAAGCATGCCAGAATTTGTTTCTATTTATTCAAATAAAAAAAAATTATAGAATAATTGATGGTATATCCATTAGGAGGATATAATGATTTTTGGAGCACAAAATGACAAAATAATCGCCAACACTTTTCCAAATGGCGCAAAAGTATGACGTCATATACTGTCCAATGTTTTGGAACGAATCACCAGTATAGTGTCGATTCATGACGTCATTTGCATTGGACAGTACACTGCGTTGTATTTCGGAACATACCCGTTATACTCCCGTTCCCTTGGGACCGTAATGGCGGGAAAATTTGCAAGTTAGCAAATTTTTTGCTATATTGCAAATTTTGCTATATTTTCACTTTGAGACAATATTTGTGGATAAAACTTACAGGATTTCTTGTTGAATGTATAAACTATCGAATAAAATTATTTTTGGTTGCTAGAAATTGTAATAAAATACATAATTATCCGTATAGATGTAGTAGTATATATTTTTTAGTGACAAAATTACTACTAATTTGAATTCTACACTTTTGTTTTTGGAGAAATTTATATGAAAATGTTTGGAAATATGTATATTTTTATGTTTTATGTGTTTCTATTCGTTACTCATACCAAAATATTAAAATATTAAAAAAATTAAAAAATAATAATAATATTTTATCTGTATGACATTTCGAACAATATTTCAAAAATATTTTTGTTTGAATTTGAAATAAATACGTCAAGTTATTTGAAATATGTAAGAAAACTATTTTTACTTACATTTTACACTAAAAATAAATGAGAATTTGAAAAATAACACATTATGACCCAACCGCCAAAATGGGCCTTCCGGATTTTGAAGTACTTTTGGCAATTTACTTTTCACTTTTTATACCACAAATTATATATCTACGTGTTTACTATATTACAAGGAATATAAAAAAGTATAATACTTTCGTTTTTAGTCCACACACAAATATAAAATTCTATAAAAAAGACGGAGCACCTTCATCAAAGCGACACGTGGAACGCCGAAAGTTCAGAGTGATTTCTTTTTTTTCTTCTAAGAAACATTGCCAGGTTATGGTTTAAAATAAAAGAGCATATCTTTGTCTTTGATACTATTATCTATTGCATATTGTCTTTGGTTTTGTTTTAAAGGAAAAAATAGTTTTTTCATAAGGCAGTACTTCTGATCTAATCTGACCCGTACTAGAGCCGACATATATAAGACATAAGCATCCCCCTCCTTATCTCGTTCACTCGGCTACGGGTCTGATCAGATCATACAATACCTATCTATTGTATGATCTGATCAGACCCGTAGCCGAGTGAACGAGATAAGGAGGGGGACCGGGATTGTTATGCAGCTATAAAGGGATAAATTAAATTAATACACATTAATTATATAAGACTGGACTTAACCCTTTCCACAGCTAAAACGTTACTCACGCCGTTTGAAAAATGGCTTCGCTAATACTACCATAAACAATATATGTATTTACTCTGCAACCAAATCATATTTTATCATTCTGTAAACGACAGTTTACTAATTGATAAATATATTTTCAGCTTAATTATCAAATCTGATGTTTTCATCAAAACAATATGCTTCTTATACATGATCAAAATTTGCGTGGGGTTGATTTCACAAAATAACTGGAAAATCAAATAAATAACTATAAATAAGGATCAAAGCTATCTAAAAATGTAAAAAATTGTACGAAATACCTTGGGATATTTATAATAAAACCATTTGAAAACAGAACTAATGAAGGGAAAAAAAATATATAAAATCCACCCAATAAAGCTTGTTGTGCTTTATTGGGTGGATTTTATATATTTTTATTTACAACCACAGGAAACTGGCGCACCTCTTGGGGATTGAGTTGATTACATTCTTTGGTTATTCATTTCTTAAAAACATTGTAATAAATCTTTTTATGACCTGTATGGATTGACACAATCTATATTGTGGGTTATCAATATTTGGTAGTCTAGGTTATAATTAGTCTGTCCAAAATACATTTTTTTGCTAAATTTGAAATTGTAATTGTAATGTTTGTATATGGTTCCTCTTTTGTTTGGTTAGTTACTGTGTCCGTGGAGGGAAAAGGGGAGATCTCCTGCCGGGCAAGGTGTTCTGCCTGGGGAGCGGCCAACACTCCATGTGATAGTTCGGAGATGTTCTATATATATATTGTTTATGATTCGGAATTTGGATAGCGTGATTTAGGCTGGTGTGTTTCGCTTGCGGAGCGACGACAGCGTCGCTACATCACTCCCCTGCTCAGACCGGAGGTCGATAGTGCAGCCTCATTGTCGTTGAATGTGCAAGTGCCAGGAGATTGCCTTGTAATCTGCGGTGAGTCGAGAAGAAGGCAAGTAATCTGCGAGAGTGCCGTGAAGCAGAGGCGAGCAATAAGGCTCAGAGCTGTGCCGAACACTGTATAGTGCAGAGCGTAGCTTGAAAGAACAGGAAGCATTAAGTTTAGTTTAGTTTACGACGGGCTGTTTTCTGCAACTCCCACGTCTAAGCGCGTATTTTGCGTGTGGGCAGGAATAATATGCTTATTCAAGCCATGATAGATATCATGCTGAGCTTCTTCGGGGAGATCCCCGAAGAAGCTCAGCAGTCCCTTGATGTTGCAAGCAACTTTGGGGAGCGATCCCGGCGTGCCGAGATGTTTAGCCCTGTATGAAACGACTTCTGGACATGGCAGCAACACGTGAGCTGCCGTTTCTTCCTCTCCCATGCATGCCCTGCACAGGAGGCTGTCAGTAACACCTATGGTGAAAAAATGTTTGTAAAAAGAGTCATGTCCTGTGATAGCACTTGTTACTATCCTGATCTGTGGCTTGTTCAGTCTCATTAGAACCTTGGCTAGACGACTGTTTATTTCAGGTAGGGCCTCCCTAGCTTTCTACAGTCTTGGAAGGAAGCATTATTATTCCAGTGCTGCGATGAACCTTGTGAAGCTAGCTGGCTTGCAGGATATGAAGACTGCATACGATATCTGCTCGGGAGCGAATGGGTGGGGTATTCTATGATGATGATCAAGCTTGAAGTTTCCGAAGGTTGTTGGTTGCGTGTTCAGATCACGTCGGGTAATCACCACTGTGGCCGAGGAAGGCTGCTACCTATCTACTGTGAAGCCTTAACGTCAACCATGCGACCATACCTACCTGAAGAATATCGTCGCGAAGTCTTCAATACACTGCACAACATCAGTCATCCAGGTATTAGAATAACAAGAAAACTCATCACTAAAAAAGTTCTTTTGGCTTTCAATGCAAGTGGATGTTGGCAACTGGGCGAAGCAATGCATTCAATGTCAAAAATGCAAATTACAAAGGCATACATCAAGTAGCCTAGCTTCATTTCCACTTACGGAGAGATTCGAACATCTGCACGTTGACATTGTTGGACCATTACCTACTTCACCGTAAGGACATCGTTACCTCGTAACAATGATCAACAGAACAACAAGATGGCCAGAAGTAATACCTACCGATGATACTTCAGCTGAATCCGTCGCAAAGATAATTTATGAAAATTGGATTACACGTTTCGGATCACCTAAAACCATCACAACGGATCAAGGAAGAAACTTCGAAACCAACCTATTCCTCAAAATTCTTCAAACTATGGGAATACAGAAGACACATACAACAGCATACCACCACAATGGCATTGTACATTGAAGACCGCACTCAAAACTCGTTTATCTCAACATACAAAGTGGATTGATGAGCTACCTACAGTGCTACTTGGACTACGAGCAACACCGCGTGCAGACACTAGTCTTAGTGCCGCTCAGCTAACCTCTCTGTGTGACTTCTTCACTCCAACATCGTCAAACAATCAAGAAATGAATTACGATTTTGTAACTCAACTTCGAGAATCAATCAACAAAGCCTTATCGTCGAAATGCACATATCACACGAAAATAATAAATCAGTATTCATTCATCAAGATTTGAAAACATGCAAGCAAGTTTTTGTAAGAAACGACGCAGTGAAGTAACAATTTCAACCTACCTACGATGGACCATATAAAGTATTAGAGCGAAATAGCAAGATTTTTAAATTAAAAATACCTGGAAGGAAATCTACAATTATATCGATCGACCGACTAAAGCCTGCCTATATTATTAACGAGGATACTTCAGAGGATTCATCATCATCGTCACAACCACCAGCGAGAAAGCTTGAAAATCCATCATTTACATCAACCCAGATGAAACCTATTTTAAAAGTTACGAGACACGGCGAGTCGTCAAGCCTCTGGTACGCTTTCGTTAGGGGAAGAGTGATGTAGCAGCCCACCTAATCAACCCTAAACGGAAATAAATAATATATACCCTGCTGCTACCATAACACGGAAGGCGAAGGTCTGAAGAAAACATTTATTTCCTAATTACCCCCGGCTACTGAGATACTGCGGGCTGCATATCGATGCGAGATAATTTGACGTATATATTTAACGTTCTAATATAGAAACAAGAAACAGCCGCAAATATCATCAGCGCCGCATCGTCTTCACACATCGGCTATCTTCATGTATCCGTCGACCATTTTCGAGCCGTTTCTTCAACGCCGTAGCTTCGCTTCTTCTTGCTGTTTCGGAGATGTGTCCCACGTCTCCGCCGCTCGCCGATTACGCGCGCGCGCCGGCCTGCACCACTTTTATAGCCCCGTCCAGCAACGCAGCTACGAGAAGCTATCCACGAGTCTCATGCCGGCAAATGGAGCGTACATAATATTTTTGATTAATCTTTATTGGTCAGAATGTATGAAT